ACGTAAAATCATTGCAATTTCCAAAGTGATCCATGCTATGGAGTAATGTAAAGACTAATTACAACTTTGCATGCAATAAACAGGCTATTCACAACTTTTCACTTATTTAAATTATAAGCAAAGAAAATATGGCCACGGATTTTTAAATTGATTCAAAGCTATTAATTACAAAAAAATAGTTGCAGCTTGTAGTCATTTGCTCAAAATCGCCTTTTAAGCCTAAATCAGACTTCAGTTTTATGCAGGAAATAGGAGATATACAGGGATGAAGCATATGAGAAAAGCTCAAAATAAATCGAAACTCCATTATATATCCACTAATCCACCTCTCCTAAAAAAAAGAAGTTATGCTTTTTGTTCAAGTGCCGTTAATAATATAAGCAAAACAGAAATCCGATTTTTTTTTTTTTTAAAGAAGGCAAACAATCTCCAGAGAAATCTCACAAACCTATCCATCAATAATCAGGGAGACACACTTGTGATTCATTAAAGAAGCTAGAGCAAGTTTTAAGGAGGAGACGCCTAATCCAGTCCAAAATGATATCTTAATCCTAGCAGCCTTTTCAATTAGAATTTTTTCTGTACAAAATCCAAAGCATTCAAACTAGGGAGCTTTTACATACACACCTCCCAAATCACATGGCTATACCTCAATCAAAGATAATTGTCGTTTCTCATAATACATCGCTACAAAAATCGAAGAATTTCTAAATAGAATATCAAGCAAGTCACCAAGCTAAACAGCTGAAAGTAAAGAGGAAAGAAGAAGCTCAAAAGCTGCTTTGCCTGCTTACTATTTTCTTCATCAAGCATTCTAAATTGCACAAATTTCAGTTTTCTAAAATTTTCATTGAGAAATGTTTCTTAGAAAATATATTGAACTCTTTTTTTTTAACACCGCAAAAGTTGGAGATAAAAGAAATGTTTCAAGCTCATGAAGCACATCCAATGATTCATAGGATTAACGGGCAGGAAACTTGATCATTCATGCCAACAAACAACAGTTAAGAAAACATTATGAGGTTGACTTTAGATGGAAACTAAGGCCTCAAAAGCTTGTTTGAAGATTAGCTTTTCAAATTCTAGAGCTACTTGCAGGAAGACTAAAATATCAAGCAAATAAAACCGGGCCTTCAAGCCAATGCTAAGCAAACAAGTAACAAAACGGGCAACCAAGCAAAGTATCGTGGAACCAAACAAACCTAAGTCCGAATACCTCCAAATAACCAGATAGAGCAATGTGCAGCCCTTAGCTTCAAGCTGCTATTAACCATATGCAACAAAAACTTCAATGACAAGGGCTCCCAACCCATCAAATATCAGTTACGATACCTTTAATCTACCCAGCAAAAGACTTCAACAAACATTACGCCTCTTCACAGCACCAACGTTATGTAAAAGAATGACATCAAGCTCAAAGCAAGCCTTCAACAACAACAAACAAAAAAAAAAAGAAAAAAAAAACGCAGGAGAGAAAAAGGAGAAGAGTCACCTCGCTAGCTGCTTCAAACGAATCCAACAGGGCTCAAAATTTCAAACAGTGGTGCTCCAACAAAATTCCAGCAACAACCCAATCTCTCCCTTAAAGGGGTTTTTTATAGCCGAAGGAGAGGAAGAAGTTTACCTCTACCTATCTAGGGGTGAACCGAGCCAAATGAGACTGGCGAGAAGCGACAAGCATCGTAGGGAGCGTGGCGAGGGGAAAGCCAAGGCGCGGCAGGGAGTAAGTGGAAGCTTTTCGCAGGGCACGGGGAAGGGGGACTTCGGCGACAAAGGAGAGGAGCGTCAGATCAGCTAGGGTTGCGAGCGGTCGAAGAGGTGGAAGAGGAGTCGGGCTCGGCTAGGGCTCGCTCGCGGGAGAGAGAAGAATCGGGTCAAATGGAGAAGGATCGGGGAAGGATTAGCCGCGTGCGTGAGTTTCGGGATTTGGAGATTTAAGTAAAAAAGAATTCTTTTTTTATTAATTAATATTGAATATTCCTCGATTTGCGCGTTATTTAATCCCGTTCGGAGTCATATCAAAATTGATGTCCCTCATAGCTAAAATTGACGTTTCGGACGTGCCGACATAGTGCGTTTTGCCATCCGGGGTCGTTCGGACAACTCCGCCAATGATCGGGCAAAAAATGCGTCGAGTTTGATTTTCATCAAAATTTCGAGTCTGCGATCGATTGTTTCAAAAATTTTATTTAAATTTTCGATAAATAACTGTGCAGACGATGTGAATTGTAGTGATCGAACGTGTCGACTCTCCGAATTACGAAGTTGGTGCGTGCGAAGGTGCAAATTGTGCATAAGACAATCCTAGGGCTTAATGATCCTATAGTGACTCATTTTGGGTTTCCTCATGTTGGTTTCAACCTTCTAAGTGCTAGAGATCGATATCACACATGCGAAACTCCAAAAGGGTAAAGAAGTAGGTTGAATTTCTAAAATAAGGCGGGTTCCATTTCTAAGGCTCTAAGATAATCAAAGGGTGAACCCTAAGACTATACCCTAAACCCTAAGAAGAAAAGTAGACCTCACTAAAAATAATGTCAACAAATGGACCCCCAATAGGTGTGGTGTGTCGGACAAACACACCGCGCATATTGATGTTGACCAAAGAGCAACAAGACCAACACATACGTCTAAGCCGACAAACTTAGAACAAAGAGTAAAATTGAGTGAGAATTGTTTTCTCTACGGAATTAGCTGGTGAATTTTCAATTTGGAGCTGTGAATTTGAGTTTTTTAAATGTGGATTTGATTTGCTTTGTTTTTTTTGTTTTAATTTTCATTTAGTGCTTATGGGGGAAGTAAGACGAACGCCTATCCTGAATGCTGAGTGCTTTGATTTCAATTTTGATTTCAATTTCAATTTTGTGCTAAGAAAGGGAGTAGGGCAGAAACCTATCCCAAGTACTGAGATTGCTGAGAATTGTTGAGAAGGGAGTAGAGAGGAATCCTATCCCGAGTGCTGAGAATTGCTGAGATTTGCTAAGAAGAGAATGGGGCTGAAACTTGTCCCGAGTGCTGAGAATTGTTGAGAATTGCTGAGAATGGAGTAAGGTGGAAGCCTATCCCGAGTGCTGAGATTGCTGAGAAGGGAGTAGGGCGGAAGCCTATCCCGATTGCTGAGAATTGCCGAGAAGGGAGTAGGGCGGAAGCCTATCTCGAGTGCTGAGATTGCTGAGAATTGCTGCGAAGGGAGTAGGGCGGAAGCCTATCTCGAGTGCTAAGATTGCTGAGAATTGCTGAGTAGGGCGGAAGCCTATCCCGAGTGCTGAGATTGCTGAGATTTGCTGAGAATTGCTGAGAACGCTGAGAATTGCTGAGAAGGGAGTAGGGCGGAAGCCTATCTCGAGTGATGAGATTGCTGAGATTTGCTGAGAATTGCTGAGTAGGGCGGAAGCCTATCCTGAGTGCTGAGATTGCTGAGAAGTGTTGAGATTTGCTGAGAATTACTGAGAAGGGAGTAGGGCAGAAGCCTATCCCGAGTGCTGAGATTGCTGAGAATTGCTGAGAAGAGAGTAGGGTTGAAGCCTATCCCGAGTGCTGAGAATGGAGTAGGGCGAAAGTCTATCCGGAGTGCTGATTGCTGAGAATTGCTGAGAATCCTTGAGAAGGGAGTAGGGCGGAAGCCTATCCCGATTGCTGAGATTTGCTGAGAAGGGCAGAGGCCTATCCCGAGTGCTGAGAATTACTGAGAATTGTTGAGAATTGCTGAGATTGTAAGGGAGTAGGGCGGAAGCCTATCCTGAATGTTGAGAATTGCTGAGAAGGGTGTAGAGCGGAAACCTATCCCGAGTGCTGAGAATTGCTGAAATTTGCTCAGTTTTCTTGAATGCAGAGATTTGCATAAATTTGCTGAAATTTCTTGAATGCAGAGATTTTGTAATTTTGCTTAGATTCATAAGGAATTTTGCTAAGATTCAATTTATGCATAGATTATGAAAATTTTGGTGAAATTTGGTTCATGCAGAGAATATGAAGAATTTCTTTTTTGGGGGATTTGTTTATGCAGAGATCTTGAGCAGAGCGTGAAGAATTTTTGTGAGATTTATTTATGTAGAGATCATGAAAATTTTGCGAAGTGCGGAGAACATTTGTTGAAGTTTATGTAGTGTTGAATTTTATTGAAATGTCTGTGCAGAGATTTATAAAAAAAATTATGAGGTGCAGAGTTTTGTTTCAATGTTGACTCTTATTTTGTTTGATGCTGAGTTTTATTTTGTTGCATTTGCTTTACGATTTGGACTCAGTTTTAGACAAGTGTGACATCCGAGCTTCTAAGAATAAGTTTTTGTCTCTGAAATATCCCGAGGCACAATACTTCTTGAAGTATCGCCCACTGGAAAGATGTGTTATCTCTAAGGACACCACAACTTAAGAGGCATTGTCGTTTGCTTTGACATTGATTTTTTAAATGTTGTTCAAGTTGTCTTTGAGAAATTGTTATTACGTTCTTCAAATTGTCGTGGAGTTGTGTTTGCTGAGCGTTGAATGATACGACTTCAAGATTGAATTTTCATTAATTGCTAATATCATCGTCGTTTCTTTAAATCTTTCTTCTTGGACATAAGCAGATTTTAGAATTTCTGCTCATTTGATTAAAATATTTTTCATTGTCCAAAGATATTTCTGAGTCAATTAATAGCCAACCAAAAGGCTCGCGATCACTTAACATTTTCTTGAATATAATATCGGAAAAACTTACGTAAGAGAACATTTCGAGTCTTATCAATTAGGGGAGAATTCAGACACCGATTTTTTATTATACGTCCACCTCAAGCTTCTTCTCAGGTAGATTCTTCTTTTGTTTTGATTTTTCGGATCTAGCTTTTCACATAATCTTTTCTCTTCTTTTTTTTTTCCGTCTTGCTGAGAATTACTATATTTGGTCGAACATAATTTAAGGATTTTGAATGTCTAAATTCAAACACTAATTTTTGATTTTTTGTTTTGTGAGCTGGTTATGGCTTTTCTGTTCATTCTAATATAACTTCGCTGTTTTATAGCTAACTAGTGGCAAAAACGGTTACGATTTCAAAGCCGTAAGAAGATGGACTACCCAAAAAAAACTGGGTTATACCCTTATTGAGTGTGAGAAAGTAATTTTAAATTGATTTTTTTCTTACAGGGTCAATTACAGATAAAGCTTTTCATGTTCCTATATTCTCATAAAGCTTGCAATTATTTGTAGGTTTTTGTTCCTGTACACAAGGATATTCATTGGTGTTTAGCAGTTATCGATATAAAAGATAAAACTCTCCAGTATCTTGATTCTCTTGGTGGTGTGGATACTTATGTGCTAAATGTATTGGTAAGTGCGACACTATTTTTTGCTCTGGACCTGAAAAAAAGAAGTGGAGTACCACGGTGCCTTTTTTTTAATTCGTGAATCATTTTGCTCTCTATGTCGGGAAAAAAAATGGTGGTTGCTTTGGTTGAAGTTTGAATTTTTAACTGAACAGGTTATGTAGAATTTCACTTGTCATGAATGAAGGGAATGGGGAAAAGCATATCACTGTTTGAATAGCTGGATACCATTGATTTTCATTTGCTTCAGAAAAGAATATGTGCTCTTGTACTGAACATTTTGACCAAATAATTTACTGGTACTTTAATGCAAATTAACAATGTGCAACATAGCATACATATGTATTTATCACCTAATTTGGTACAAATCATTCTGAGCATGCATACATGATTACTTTATACATAAAGTGATACTTGAATACATGGATAATTGGTTGCATTTATCTGTATGCACATGCATGTCATCTACTGCTTGTTCTGTCTAGAAAGGAGTTTATTTATTGACTTAACTAGGAAAATTCTTGATTTTTTTATTATTAGTTTAACTGGTTTGTCGCTAAATCACATTGCCTCTAAGAAGAGTATACTAGCAATTATAACCCTGCAATGCACTGGAAATTGATGTTTCACAATCAGATTTCATTTGAAAGGAATGAAAGTTTATTTGAAAATAAAACTTAAATACATTATCGTTTTTGCAAAAACAAAAAATAATTCTGCTAACTTTAAAATTTAAGTAAAAAATATAAACAAATCATGAAGTAAAAAAGTGAGTGCTCTGGGGTTTGAAAGGAAAGAAATTGCTATTAGAATTCAAAAGTTTCAGTCTAATTGTTTAATTTCAGGGAATTCATTGGTTCTTGGTGATATTTATCAGCAATGCAAAAAAGAAATGTGCTAGCTAGTATAGTTTGCAATGTCAAATACCGTGAAATAGGAATTTTTTTTCTTTTGCAAAAACCACACAATTTGTTGAAATTGTTCTTTTATTTTTAAATTTTTTCTATTTTGCATGCACTTGTAACAACGGTAATGTTAAAAAGGACAAAGCAAAGTGCAAAATCAAGAGAAGATATTGTCCGCTAGTACAAAAGTTCAAATTTGTCCATGAAATGGGGTACGATTTAACAAAATAGTATTATGAAAATTTTGTGAAAATTTTGGACTCTTCAAATTTTCACAACCAAATTATTCCTGTTCATATATAGTAATTTATAAGCAACAAACAGAATGATTCTAAAAAATATAGGTGTCAACACTTGGCAAAATTATAAGATCTAGCGTTTCATGCATCTATCCTAACGTATAGGCCATTCAATGTGTGTAAATGTTTATTTACCTTTAAAAGCTGCATGTTTGAACAAAACAATGTGAATGGCCTATTGTGTTTTCTAAGAAATTTTCTGAGCTAGCACATTTAGTCAATTTGCTTCAAATACAATTAAGTTTAGTTATAGAAATTTCTTAAATTTTTCTATTTACCCATATCCTTCGCTTTAGTTATGGATGCTCTTACTGGACATTTACAATAGGATGTATCTTGATATATGCTTTTCACTGATAATATCCTTCCTGCGGATAAGACTAGTGGAAGAGTTCATGAAATACTTGAATTATGGAGCTCGACATTAGAATCTAAAGCCTTTTGTTTGAGTAGATCTAAAATTGAATACATGGAATGTAATTTTTGTAGTAGTAGATCTAGTGACAAAGTTGCAAGAATGAGTGCTGAAATAATTAAAAGGAGTGAACATTTTAGATATCTCGGATATATTATTCAAAGTGATGGTGATACAAATGGGGATGTTATTAGTAGAATTCAAGTTAGATGGTTGAAGTGGAGGAATGCATCGTGCCTATTGTGTGATAGAAAAGTTCTGCTTTCTGCTTAGACTTAAGCTTAGACTTAAAGGAAAATTTAATAAGATGGTGGTGAGATTTGCTTGCTATTAAGCATGAACACCGACAGGAGACATGACCATGATATGACACAAATGTGCGGAGAGTAAGATATGACACGTCGCGGGCATGAACTTTCCTTTTTTTTATAAATTATTAATGTAAGTCAAATGTGCGGAGAGTAAGATATTGCACTTCGCGGGCATGAACTTACGTTTTTTTAATAAATTATTAATGTAAGTTGTGTAATAAAAAAAAAATCTCATGTTAATATTTTCTCTTTAAAAAATATCACTTGATAAAGTATAATGTCATATGCAATAAATAAAAGTGTATTGTTCAACTAAACAAATACTAATATTGTTTTAGTTAGAGTTATTTCAATATTCATAAGTCTACTTGGTTTAAATCAACACAGCAAATTGGCATCAATTATTAGACATGATTTTGTTGGTAACAACATTATACTATCTAAACAATGCCAAAACCTAGAAGAAAAAAAGAATATATAATATTCACAATAAACACACCAAGAATGAGTATATTGATGCATCACTAATTATATGAACACGCTTGACACAATGAGTATCATCACCACTAAAACAGATGCTCTCTTCAATAGCATTTCAGCTTCATAAAGAAAAGTATATTTTGCAAAGTTGCATCATTGATGAAAATATATAATTCACCGTATGTTTTAGGCTTATATTAGACTTAATTTTGGGGGATCATGCACAACACATATTATTTTTAGCTTGTCAAATATGTCCAATGGAGTATATGGTTCGCTCATGCCATACATAGATTTGAAAGGATTGTTATAGTGTTTGTTCTGCATAGCGTAATAAAATGTCCGTGCAAGAGGTCTAAATATAAAGGGGAAAAAAGAAACGAAACCACAAAGTAAAGATGGGATTAGCTTTAAACTTATGGCGTTTGATTTAAAAAAAAAGAAAGAAATACTACAAACTTTAGCCGAAATGGTGTGTTTTAAAAATTATCACATATAGGTCTGATTTTACTTGTTTGTAGCTTGGTTTAACTCTTCGTAATTTACCTATGAGAAAATTATTATGCTGGGAAGAGTTGGTTGAATGGACGTCCAATGCTATGGTATTACGGAGCTCATCTTTGTAGCATTTATCAGGGTATGATTCTTATATACTGACAAATACATATGGAAAATTTTTCTTCCAGAAAGATTTATGATGTAGATATACGTGGAAGGTCATTCTTCTTTTATATGTTTAGGGTTGAGGATATTTATCTTGCCACTATCAAAATGATCATAATAATAAAAGAATCAAATTCAAGATCATGTATAACATATTTTATTTGGAACCATCTTGTCTGGTAGAAAACTTAAAATGAATCTTCAAAGTATATCATTTGGCTTAAATCTTAAAATGATTCCCCAACTATGCTTAGGTGGCTAAGTTAGTCTCAAAGTATCATATTTTTCTAATTTATTCCTTCTACTATACAAAATTGATTCAAAATGGAATTTTAGGGTTCAGGGTTTAGGATTTAGGGTTTAGCCAATGGATTAAATTAGAGAAGTGTAGATGATTTTGGATTATAATATTAAATATTTCTGTTTTTATAAAGATAAAAATAAAATTTGGAATCATTATTTTTTTATGAAAACAATGTGAGCCTAATAAAGCTTGGTTTAAACTCAAAATGCTGAATTAGAGAAGTCATTAGGAATGTTAGTTTGGGTGAAAAAGACCTGCAAGAGAAAGATGGCTCATGGGAAATTTCAAAATATTGAACATGTGACCTATATCAATTGCTTTAACGGCGAAGAGAAATTTAAATCACTTTAGGATGAAAAATCGCTAGCGGTGGCTTGGTGGGTGGCTCGAAGGGCGGCCGGTAGCCGAGGTTGCAGTGGCAGCGGCAACTACAGTGCCAAAGCCAAATCGTGGAGGCGGCAAGCAACGCTCAGCCGACGAAGTGCAACGGTGGGGAGCAGTCACCCAGGTGCTTCGGTCGAATTCTAAATTTAGCCAAAATGAATTTTGTCGTAAACTTCACATTCATTTATACTTTACATTGTATTTGTAATTCTTCATGTTAAATACATAATTTTCTCAAATTCCTACAAATAAATTACAATACACCAAAAAACATAACTCAACCAAACAACCCCTTCTCTAAATTCTTTGTGCTTTGGATTGTGAAGGAAAGGGAATGAACAAGAACAACAACAACAACAAAGCCTTAGTCCCACTATGTGGGGTCGACTACATTAATCATTTTTCTCCAATGCATCATATTTAGAGAAAAATTATAATCCAGCAATTTACTTAAAAAAACTAAATAATACTAAAGTAAAAGGCTAAATTATATTAAACTGCAGTGATGTTTGTGAAGGAGTGTCGGTCGTCATATAGCTGGGTGCGGTTTAATTTAGTATAATATAGTGTTTATAAATTAGGTATTTTAATTTAAAGAAAATGAGGTTAAACTGATCCCATTGATTCTTACAGCTTGGATAATCGAGCTAATCACGAGTAATGTATCACCTTGAAAGGTAATACACTACCTGATATTAAGCTCAATTAAATAAACTATAGAACTATATAAATAAATGGCTTCCGTTTAATCTGGCAGTTTGCATGATGACCGACAAATTCTGGCGACTCCGCTGGGGAATAGTTCTTCTCTCCATATTAATCAGAAATAATTGTTTTCATACATCGGTAATGTGTCTGTTTCCCTCTCGGATCAGATTACTTCTTTTCTGTTGGTTTACTTAGCCCATTTCTTCCTTGGATGAGTACAACTAACTCTTTTGGATTCCAGGGCATTTTGTTTAAACATCATAAACAAAGAGTTCAGGAATCCTTTGGGTTTTCATTTTTTTGTGGGGTCGGACCCCCGATAGGTGTGGTGGTGAATCATATTCACCAAAATGATATTTCATATCTTCGATTTCGGATTGGGTCAATATTACAATGCATCTCATCATTTTAGGGTTAATCTGCTTTTAGCCAGATTAAAACTAATTCTTTGTACTTATTTTGTCAGTTCGTTTTTATACAATAACTACAATTCGAAATATACTTTAATTCACTTTAATTATAAATTTTGCCCA